TTCACACTCAGCCCGTAACCCTGGACCTTTTGGCCTTCATCTACTCCTTGACCTCAAACAGTCATTTCTGAACCCAAAGTCCCAAACCACGGATCGCTATCGCAGCACCCCGGTAACAGGAGCATGTCATGTCGGACGTGGAATCCATCCACAGTTTTGCGGAGGACGGTGGTTGGGTTTTGTGTGAGAAACCTGTGAGAAGCTTCTGAGAAACCGGTGAGAAACCTGTGAGAAGGCTGTGAGAAACCTGTGAGAAGGCTTTGAGAAAGCTATGAGAAACCTGTGAGAAACTTGTGAGAAGGCTTTGAGAAAGCTATGAGAAACCTGTGAGAAACTTGTGAGAAACCAGTGAGAAGCCTGTGAGAAGGCTGTGAGAAACTTGCGAGAAACCTGTGAGAAGGCTTTGAGAAAGCTGTGAGCGACCTGTGAGAAACCTGTGAGAAACCTGCGAGAAGGCTTTGAGCAAGCTGTGAGAAACCTGTGAGAAGGCTGTGAGAAACCTCTGAGAAACTTGTGAGAAGCCTGTGAGAAACCTGTGAGACGGCTGTGAGAAACCTGTGAGAAGGCTTTGAGAAAGCTGTGAGCGACCCGTAAGAAACCTGTGAGAAACCTGTGAGCGGGCTGTGAGAAACCTGTGAGAAAGCTGTGAAAAACGCGCGAGCGACCTCTGAGCGGGCTCTGAGAAACACCTGACAAAGCTGTGAGAAACTTCTGAGAAACGTGGGAGAAACTTCTGAGAGACCTAACCTGCTGCTGCTGCTCCTGTTGCTGCTGCTGCCGGAAGGACTCGCCGGGACCGCGGGGTTCAGCAGCCGCTAGTGGCGGCGTTGGGCAGGACGCCGCAGTGACGGCTTACGTGTCTCCTCGGTCAACTCGTCTTTTCGCTCAAGCTGCACAAGGAAGCTTGAAGCCAACTAAATGGGGTCGTTGCCCGAAGTGTCTGTTTCCTTTAAGGGTTCATGTTTTCCAGTCTGGAGCCCGGCAGGGACAGATTTCTTTACAATGCTCGCAATGGTTTCGCTTGTCTGCTCCCAACCGAAGAGACTGTTGGGGCTCCGTGGCTTTTCCGAAGGACAAGTTTGCCCAACTGACTGCTTCAGAGAAGCAGCTCTGCGACAACATTCGTACCAGACTTTGGTTGCACGCTGCTTGAAGGGAAATGTCCAGTGCAGTTGGCATTCATTTGTTGTTTTCTCTTCTGCTGCTTGAAGGGAAATGTCCAGTGCAGTCGGCATTCATTTCTTGTTCTCTCTTCTGTCATGCCTTATGATCCTGAGCTTTGCAAGCAGTGTGTTCTCCCTTCAACTTTGGCTTCCAGGTCCCTATAGAGATAGGCCAACATGGTCTGCAAAGTCTGCGGACGAAAAGGGCACAACGTCCGTGGATGTGCTCTTCCAGGAGCACGACTCCTGCTTGATGCACAGGCAGAGCTCGACAAGCTCAACCACGCCGCTCGCAGTCCACAGCAAGGCCGCAAACCGCCACGCTTAGGAACTTGCTTCTATGGCAAGCGAAAGCTCGATGCTCGCCGAGCCTACAGTGGACCACATCAGGCGAAAGTCGTGCGGGAGAAGGACAAGTTGCGACGCCAGAAGCAAGCTCCGCTTCCCGTCTGCAAGGACACGCAGCTGGAGGCCGTGCGTGAGCTTCAAGGGCTTGGCTTCCTTCGAAAGCTTCCCAAGCGATGCTTGAAGTGTCGTGGTCTTCTGGGAGAGTTGCAAGCCGGAAAGAAGAAGCACGGGCAGGCAATCTTCTCCTTCTTCAAAAGTTTTAAGGAGGTTCCCTAAACCCTAAACCTAGGTCTAAGCCTAAAACTTAAAACCCAAGTCATCGACCCGAAAACTTCACACCGCAGGTGATGGTGCGTTGCAAAAACGAGAACTGCCGCAAGGTCATGAATGTCATGAGCTTTGCGACATGGCTGCCGCGCCAGGCCGAAAACTTTTGCTTCTTCTCCTACTTCTGCACTTCTAGCGGTACAACCGTTTAGATTTGGCATCCCCGATACAACCACAATCCTCCCAGTTGGCAGGCACGCATTGGCCGACTTTGCACTCCTTTCCAGCTCTTGACCCTATTGAGAGCTTGGACTGCAAATGGTCTTCGCAAAGCTCCTTCGGCATATCAGCTTGGACGTTCAGCTGGTCTTTCCTACAAGCCATGCAAACGTGTGATTGACACGCTGCGTGCACTGGAGGCAAGCCTTACACCCCAGCCCAAATCATCATAAATGGTTTCTCATTAAGAGGAAATATAAGAATCCTTGTGATAACTATTGCCGTTTCATGTTGAAAGCCATCCATGTTTCGATAACAGTGTCACATCTGCATCGGATCATCTTCGTCAGATTTGCCCATCGCAGTGTCAAGTCTGCATCGGATCAACTTCGTCAGATTTGCCCATCGCAGTTAACTGCATCGGATCAACTTCGTCAGATTTGCCCATCGCAGTTAACTGCATCGGATCAACTTCGTCAGATTTGCCCATCGCACTTAACTGCATCGGATCAACTTCGTCAGATTTGCCCATCCCAGTTAACTGCATCGGATCAACTTCGTCAGACTTGCCCATCGCAGTGTCAAGTCTGCATCGGATCAACTTCGTCAGATTTGCTCATCGCAGTGTCAAGTCTGCATCGGATCATCTTCGTCAGATTTGCCCATCGCAGTGTCAAGTCTGCATCGGATCAACTTCGTCAGATTTGCCCATCGCAGTTAACTGCATCGGATCAACTTCGTCAGACTTCACGCATCATCGACTGTTGCTTGTATCATATCATGTCATATTATGTCATCTCATCTCTCACCATCTCATACCATTTCATACAAAACATCATCTCGTATCATTTCATGCCCTTCAAGTCGTTTACTCTCATGCTACTTGTTAAAAGCTGTAAGATGAGATCTTACAATGATAACCGTGATGATGTTAATGTTGACCTTGACTTGGAAAGATCTCCATAATGATGCCGACGATGAAACCACGCAGGCCAAAGAAGGCTTGCGATGCAGTGCTGCCACGCGGCCCGGCGGAGTTTGCGAAGTGGATGGCACATCGCTGAGAACTCTGCGCGTGTACCCCAGCAGCGTGCGCTTCCAGCACCTGATCCGTGAGTGGCGTGAGAAGAACCCAGCAGTGCCCAGGCCTGTGTACTGGCTGTTGCACGTACGCTTGCTAGGAGTTGTGCAGCGGTCGGACTCGCGCAAACTGTGCGTGGCCCTTGCTGAGCAAAAGTTGGTGAAGCCAAAGGCTGTGCCACCGACAGAATCTAAGAGGGAGATTCTGTCCTCGGGCTTGCTCAAACGAGTGAAGCCAGGAAGCAGTCTGATGGCAGACGGAGCTGCGGCATGGAGTGCTGCTGCTCGCACATTGTCCGCGAAGCGGTTCACCGTGCATCATGTGAAGCACTCACGGGCCCAGTTCGTGAAACGTGTGCCTGCGTGCCAACGTACCCTAGGGACTCAGACCTTAGACAGAGTTTGGGATGTGCTGAAGCGTTACATTCCCAAGGAGATCTCTTCCAGGAAGATCAAGCATGGCCGTTTTGATCTTTTAGACTACGTTTACTCCTGTCTCTGGAGAAGACAGGCAAAGCAAATGCCGCTGCTGCAAGAGCTCGGCAAACTTTGCCGTGACAGCTGAGTCCTGTCTCAGAAGAGGACAGGTGCAGCTGCCGCAGTTCCTAAACGCTCGGCAGACTTTGCTTTCACAGCCGACTGCTTCTGGAAGAAACGATTTCTGCCATCAGCATGCTGACACCGTTCTACCTACCCCATCCCATGCTCAATATAGCTGAAATCCCAAACTTAAGAATAAAATAAACACACAACGCAACATATCAATAATCCCCAACATAGGTCATGCACTTTCAGGGAATATGTAGATCCTGCTGGTGGTGCTCTTCTTCACAGTGAAGACGTTGCCTGTCCTGGTGGTGTTGCTGCTGCCGCTGCTTCGTCTGCATGTGCTCGTCCGGTGTCGTTAACAGAATCTGTATTCGTCTGTCTCCAAAACAAACTTTTTCCTGAACCGCTCCAAAAAATGTGTCTGAACGTCTGGGAAAATAGCAATAATCGTAAACAAAAACACACAGTCTCGAGGATTCTAACACTCTTCATCTCAGCTTTGTAAAACGTTCGTGCATTTTACCACACGTTTAAGCACGTTCCCAAAAAAACCTCTGCAACTCCCACAAAACACACGGCGCCCTACAGAAGCCGCTACCGAGGTGAAGCTCAGACGGACTGCGGCTTCCTGACTTCCCTCCCGCTCGACGTGTGGCGAAGGCTCTCTAAACGATGCCTCGTCTTTTGTTGATAGTGTTGCCGAGTGTCATCGCTAGGACTTGTGCTGCGCAGCTCGCACTCTCCTTGATGACTCGGCTTTGAGGGATGTTTCACCCGACCCGCGAGGACCTCGGACAGCAGCTGAGCGGTCTTTTCGAAGGCGCTCAGCCCCAGACAACCGGAAATTCTGGAGTTTTGTGGAAGGGACGTTTCCGGTGGGGGATAACTCTTTCCACTGAAACTACAAGGTTGTTTTATTTGAGGGTAATCTTTGATCTTCAAAGTGGCAACAATCGCGAACCGATTAATTGCAGCTTTCTCCATTTTTTGACTTTGTGTGAAAGCATGATTTTATCACACAAAAATTTTCCTGTTTTCACGTGTGCATACAGCGCTCTCCATGCATGTCGAACATTTGAATCTTTCAATGCACCGGCGGTTTACAGCTCAAGTGGCATTGTGTTCGTTTGTAACCTAGTGCACGTAGTCCCAAGTAGAGTGTGTAGAGTAATCACAAGAACACATGAAACATGTGTGTGAACCGCGACACGAAGGCTTAAGTCAGTCAGCCCGCGAAGTGAGAAAAGTGTGTTTGCGAGTAGAGTGGGAAGGAAGGCTTGAGAAGCCTTTAGTTTCAACATGGTAGCGGAGCTCCCTGATTCAGACCTCTTGGGAGCGATGAAGCTATCACAGGAACAACAGGTAGCTGTCGCCATGGTTTCCTTGGCTTTGGCTTCTTCGTTGATGTGTCTGGCGAGAAGCTTTGTGAAAGAACTTGTGAGAAAGGAGACAGTGGAGCGCGTTGCTCCGGCTGAGGAAGAGCTACCAGAACTCTGGTACTCGCCTTACGGAGAGAAGACCCACACCTCAGGAAGATGTCATGGCCTCAGGAACGCAACCAGTGTACACCGAGTACTACCATGCAAGTACTGCTGCCCTGGTGGACTTCGATCCCGAGAACAACGCACCTTCGAGTACAAGAGAACCTTTCTGGAAGCAGCAGGAAAGTACCTTTGGCTAAAAGTCTTTATGGTTGTGGTTCTCATGGGCATGTCATGGTTCATGCTGTTTGAAGTGAACGAGACCTACGGCTACCCGTTGGCCATGAACCGCATGCTGAACTACAGGAACAAGGTCCTCAGCCTCGACAACAAGAACCCCAAGAAGAAGCATGTGATAAAGGAGATTACCCCAGCGGATGCTGTACCTGCCGGGAAGAGCCAAGAAGGTGATCACACAGAGCTTTTCACGTTGTGGTCGCATCTACATTCTACATGAGCCCAATACCAAACCGAGAACGAGAACGAGATCAACGTCACGAGCTACCTCAAGAAGACGAACGTGTACTCCGAGTTCTACAAGAACAGAAGTAAAGGAACAAAGTTGCAACTACAGTTTTCATGAAGGTGATGTCGCGGAGTATAACGAGAACCTAAAGAACGAAGAAGTGCCCCACGTGAACTACTACAAGAACCTTGTGTTTGAGTTGGTTTTGGAGTTTCAAGAGTACCTTGCGAAAGCAGGAAGAAGCCTTGAGTCCGTCGTGAGCTACGTCGTGCGCACGTGTCACCCAGTACTACTTCTACTTGGGACCCCGCTTGGTATGGTCACTTGGATCTACCTCTATTTTTGGGTCAGAGTTAAGCAAACAAAAAGAGAACAGTTGAAGAAGAAAGTTTCGAGAAGGAAGTTGCACAGGTCAGTTTGCAGCGTTCTTTTCAAGAAGCGAGTCTGGTTGCATGTTGTGTTGCTTTACAGTCACATGCAGAGTGCAGTTGCGATGGAGGAAGCCTTGCAAAGGCTCACGGACCTTACTGCCCAAAACACACAACAGATACAAGCACTTGCCCAAGCAATGAACAGTCAGCAAGCGCAGGCAGGTACCGCTTCACAACAACTACAGGAACTCGCGCAGTCAGTTTCACAACAGCAGAGAGCAATTACAGAAGCAACCCAAGCAACCAACACAGCACTGTCACAACAAGCAGAGCTTACTGCAACCGCGGTTGCAGCAACAGGAAAGCTTACAGCAGACGCAGTTACAGCACTGTCGCAGCACGCAGAGTCAAGAAGGCCAGGAGAGATCGACCTCCACAAGATGATCAAATCTCCAGAAGTCTTTGGCCCTACTACGTACAAAGAAGAGCGTGATGGTTTTCTAGAGTTTCGGTTGAAGCTAAGAAGTTGGATAGGCGCTCTCAACAACGACATCCTTGAGAAGATCAACGCAGTCGAGATGGATAGAAGAGAAGCATCATGGGAATGGAGCAAACTTAACCCAGGTGAACAAGCACTTTCAAGAAAGCTACATTCCATCCTCACCAGCTATACACGTGGCCGTCCTCTACGAACTCTAAAGCAAGTACCCAATGAGAACGGTTTCGAAGCATGGAGGTTGTTGGTGGAGGAAAATCAGCCTCACAACCGTGCACGTTCTCTACAACTACTTAACGGAGTTCTTCACTACAGGTTCGACAAGCAAAGGTCAACACAAGAAAATATCCTGAAGTTTGAGGAGTTGATTGAAGAGTACGAGAGAGCGAGTGGAGACCTTGTTGCGGACGACATGAAGATTTCCATCATACTTGGAGGAACCGAAGGGAACATGAGACAACATCTTCTACTCAACCAGAAAGAGACCACAAAGTACGGTACACTACGACAGTACCTCCTCTCCTACGAGCAAGCAGCAAGGTGGACTACCACAGACCTTATCAACTCAGGAAAGGACCACCAAGGACAAGCAGACATGGATGTTTCACGAGTGGAATGGTGGAATAAAGGAAAAGGGAAAGACAAAGGTAAAGGAAAGAAGGGAAAAGGATTTGGCAAGTACAACAAAGGCAAAGGCTTCGGCAAAGGAAAAGGAAAAGGAGAAAGCCAGTACTACTACAAAGGCCGAGGAAAAGGAAAAGGACGAGGAAAAGGAAAAGGAAAAGGCAGAGGCCGAGGATATGGCAAAGGCGGGGGAAAAGGCTACAGCAGCAAAGGAAAAGGTAAAGGCAAGCCAATTGCAGACTCAAGCAGAGAGACATGCAGCAGAACGTCAGGAACGCACAGGAGGAAGACGAGCAAAGCGTCAGGACACAGCCTACCACAGTTCCAAGCAGTAGCGCTTCGGCAGCCACAACAACAAGAACTACAAGCGCGAAGTCTACAGCTAAGCCAACAGTTCGGCAGATCGCGATGTACCACATGGACAACGATCCCGTCACGTACCCTGAAGTTTTTGAACTCGACGAAGACGAAGAAAAGCTCGAGATCGAGTACTTTGCAAGAGTCTTGAGAGTGACGGAAGCTGAAGAGTTTGTTTTGTCAGAAGGAGAAGAGAGCGAAGAAGAACAAGAAGATCCTCTACTAAACTGGTACCTTGGACGTGAAGCACTACCACCACAAGAAGTTCTTTCAGTACGCGTTGTAGAGGAAGAGTTTTTCCAGGAAAGTGATCTTCACCAAAGAATCGAAGTTATCCTGGATTCTGGCGCAGACGTTTCTCTTGTGCCCTCTTGGCTAGGAAAAGAAGGAACCCCTTTGAAGGTTCGCCCTTCGTCCATTCAGGACGCACAAGGAAAGGCAATAAAGACGGAAGGCAGAAGGATGCTGAACTTAACGTTCTTTGATGACGACGGAAGCTTTTGTCGCATCCAGGAAGCCTTCACCGTTGCCTCGGTGATCAACCCGCTGATGGCCATAGGCAAGCTGTTTCGAGAAGGCTGGGAGTTGCGAGTGAACGAAGAAGAAGGTATGTGTCTTACAGATGGAAGCTCAAGAATACCAGTGCATCTCCACAAGAACAGCTTGGATGCCTACGCTTACGTACAAACTCCTGAAAGAAGCAGAAGTTACAGCAGCAACAACTACAAGATGGTTCGGACAGTTGTTCAGCTCAACAAGCACGTTCAAGAAGCAGTGAACAGAGAAGAACCTGGTTGGCACAACAGAGACAGCATGGTGATCGTGAAGTACGCCACTCAAAGCAGCTACGAGAACCCATCTCTCATGTATAGCCCTACGCACTTTCCGTACAGAAGCACTTTGGTGAAAGAAGAGAGAGGATGGAGAGCAGTTGAAGTTTCAAAGAAGTACTCCGAGAAGGCAGACCCTTTTGAAGAGTTTGCAGAAGGAGAAAAGGAAGTGGTTACAGCCATTTCAGCAAAGCCAATTCCACTTTGGATCCTTGGCACCCCTTACGCAGCTGGAGATCGAGCAGAGCAAGAAAGTCATGGTCGTGACTACTGGAAAATGGACCTCGAGAAGGGAGAGGTTGTTCGTCACCACGTAGTACCAAGAACTGTGCTGTTTGACCCGACAGGAGTTGCCAACTGTCCTGTCCTCCTTGGAGATCTCGAGAACAGCAGGTATACCCAAGGAGACTGCATCTACAGTACGGAGATCTACGAACACAGCGACGACTGGAGAGCAGACCGCCTACCTCTACGTGAACACTTTCGTTTGCCGTGGTTTGGTCAAACAAGGTTCCGTGTGAAGCCAGAAGTTGTTGAAGACCTAAAAGCAGAAGCTGCAGCAGAGGAGCTAAAGAATAAGAAGGAAGAACACTACAAAGAGAAGGAAGATTCAGCAGCACCACCAGAAGCGGAGGAGAGTAAAGACGAAGAGATGAGAGAAGCACCAGCAGACCAAGAAGCACCACAAGAAGTTGTTGAAGTTTTGGAGGAAAGCTTCTACCACGAAGGCGTCGAGTACACAGCGCAGAAAAGCAGTCTTAAAGAACTACAAGCACTTTGCAGAGAGTACAGAGTGAAGACAACAGGAAGCAAGAAGCAGCTCTTGAAGAGACTCGCCACAGCAGTCAGAGAAGAAAGGCTCAGCACGCAACACAAGGAACAACGGGAACACCACCAAGCATACCACCTAGCACCACCACAGGAACCAACGGAAGAGGAGAGAGCGTACCACAACTTGACGCACCTTCCGTATCAGCCTTGGTGTCCCCATTGCGTTGCTATGAAAGCACGAGAAGACAACCACAAGAAAGGATTGAGCAAGCCAAGCAGCTCTACGGATTCCGCGAAGCCCGTCATCAGTTTTGACTTTTGCTATACAAGCACCACAGGACGTGAAGAGCCACCAGCAGTGACTCTTGTCGCTGTGGACAGCTGGAGCAAGGCAGTTCTTTCGGTGCCCTGCAAGAGGAAAGGAGGTGCAGGAAGCACGACGCATCTCGCGGAAGCACTCGTGCAGTTCACCACGCAGCTCGGGTACAACACCCTCGTTCTCAAAGCAGACAACGAGAACGCAGCCAAAGCACTCAAGGACAAAGTACAGAAAGTACGCAGCAGCCTTGGACTTTCTACAACACTACAGGAAAGCATTCCTTACGACCACGAAAGCAATGGAGCCGCGGAAAGAGCAATACAAACAGTACGGAGGCAAGCGAACACCATTCTCGATGAACTCAGAGAAAGAACACAGCTGGCAATACCACACGAGCACGCAGTAGTAAGCTGGGCGTTTAGACACGCCTGCTGGCTACTCAACAGGTTCGCAGTGAGCAGCTCCACAGGAAGAACGCCACAGGAAGTTATCCACGGATACCCCTACTCAGGGAAACTTGTACCCTTTGGTACTGTTGTGATGGCGAAGAGGTTGAAGATCAAGAAGAAAGGTGACAGGATATGGAACGCAGGAATATTTTTAGGCAAGACAGAGCAAGACACATGGATCGTTGCACAGCCTGATGGCATACATATCACACGCAGCGTGAGACCACTACCAGAACAGTACGACTCCAAAAGAACAAGCAGCATAGAGGTCCATACCTGGAACCTCAACACACCACTCCTTGGAGCAAGAGTACTTCCAGAGAAGAAGCAAAGACAACGACCGCAGCTAAGCATCCTGCCCCCTGTTGCCGAGGAAGAACGCGAACAGCTCGAGAACGACGAGGCCGCTAGCGACCCTCCGAGTTCGGAGGACAGCAGTGAAGAGCAGCAGCGAGCACTTGAAGACAGAGAGGAACAAAGCGAAGCCAGCAGCATGAGTGTGACGAGAGACAGAAAAAGAAGAGCTGAAGTTGATGACGACACCCTTTTGGAAGAACTCAGAGCAGTTGAGCCACTTACAGCCTCAGCAGAAGCACTTTCAGCACCAGCTGAACCAAGAGCAGAAGCAAGCAAGCACAGCCTTGAGCCTGAGGAACCAAGCTCACCCAGCAAGCTACGAAAGCAGGTCAACAGAGCAGAGGAAACAGACGGTTACCTCAACATGCCTCATGATGATGAAGTCTACGAAGCAGATGATGAGTTTGTGTACGAGTCGGAAGAAGAAGAAGAGGAGACAGAGAGTGAACCAACGGAAGTTTCTACCAAGGTCCCTGTCGAGTTCTTCGACGAGGAGAAAGGACCACCGAACGTGGATCCAGCTTTTCTTCAGAAGTTGGATGATGAAGCTACAGTCAAAGAAATCAAGAGGTTAACAAAGATGGGAGTTATTTCGTTGGTTTCTACGGACCCTCAGGAAGCAACTGAGAACGTACCTCTGGTAGATTCAGAGCAAGAACTTCACAAGTGGTTGACAACGAAGTTGGTGAAAGATTGGAGGTTCAGAGAAGCTACAGGTTTTGAAGCTGAAGAAGCCAAAGAAGGAACAACAAAGCCCAAGCAGATTCAAAGATGCTGGCAACGACGTGCCAGACTAGTAGCCAGAGAATACAAGACAGAAGGAAAAAGGGAAGATATATTTTCTCCTGCGACAAGCCCAGGAATTACAAAACTGGTGCCCATGCTGGCTCTCGCCAACCATTGGGCGATCTACAGTGTCGACGTGAAGGACGCGTTTTTACAAGTCCCTCAAAGAACACCTTGTTTGTGTCGAGTACCTGAAGAAGCAGCTCACGTCGTACAAGCAATGCAGGAACAACAAGAACGCAACCCTGGAACTTGGTGTTGGAAGTTAGGAAGAGTTTTGCCAGGTCAACGCGACGCATCCAGTCTTTGGTCAGACTTTTGTGATGGTCTTTTGGTGGAAGAGAAGTTTGAGCGTTGTACAGCAGTTCCAGCACTTTACCGTCTTCTACGACAAGGAAAAGTGGTTGCAGTTTGCATTGTGCACGTAGATGACTTGCAGTTTGCAGGAAAGAAGGAAGTCATCGAACCAATCCTCAGGAACCTCAAGAAGAAAGTGAACCTACAAGTTGAAGGACCTCTTCTGAACGAGGAAGACTACGAGAAAGGATTTTCTGAGGAGACCGTGAAGTTTCTCAAAAGGAAGTACACGTACGAACAACATGAACTACGAGTACATAGCGATAGCAAGTACGTGAAGAAACTCGTGGAGATCCTCAAGCTGGAGAAGAAGAAGGCCAAGAACTCACCCTGCACACCGGCTAGTCAGGAACCTGACGTATCCCAAGAACTGGACGAGGAACACTCGAGAACGTACAGAAGTTGTGTCGGCATTTTGCTGTACGTAGCGCACGACCGTCCGGACATTCAGTTCGCAGTACGTAGCCTCAGTACTGCCATGACGAAGCCAACGGAACGCAAAAGAAAGGAGTTGGAGCACTTGGCGCTCTACCTCAAAGGAACGTCAGACTACGCCGTTACGTACCACAGGAACAGCCCAGGAACGTCAGCTCTACGTCACCGCGCCGAAGAACCACAAGAACTACAAGAACCTCGAGAACAACCACGCGAACGTTTGCTGGAAGTTTTTAGCGACTCCGACTGGGCCGGAGACAAGCAGACTAGGAAGTCAGTGAGTTGCGCCATGTTCTACCTGGACGGTGCATATTTCTACAGCTACAGCAGGACACAGAAGTCGATAGCATTATCTTCAGCAGAAGCAGAATACATGGCACTTACTGGAGCAGCAAGCGAAGGAATAGGTTTACACGCAGCAGTTCGTTTCCTTACAGGAGAACGAGTACTACTCAAAGCATACACAGACAGTTCCGCATGCCGCGGAATTACAAACCGCCAAGGAACAGGAAGAGTCAAGCACTTGCAGATTCGGTTACTTTGGCTACAAGCAGCAATACGCGAAGGCAAGCTTACTGTACACGCAGTCGGTGCAAAGGAGAACACAGCAGACCTAGGAACAAAGCCTCTCAGCACGAAAAGAGTGAAGTTTCTCCTGAACATGATCGGCGTGTGCAACAGCGAAGGAAGAGTTGGAGAGCAAGAGCGAGAGGAAGAAGAAAAGGCACAAGTGGTGAGAAGACTCGAGAAGATCATGAAGAACAAAAGCAGCATGTTGTTTGCACTTTCGAGTTTGTTTGGAAAGACTGAGGCAGCCTACGTACCTTTCGCCGCAGCTCAAGAAGTAGCAAGCCCACAAGAAGTCCCAAGCAGTCCTGGAAGCATGTCGCTTCTGGAAGTCCTGGTGACGCTCGCCATGGTGTGCATGGCGGCATGGTTTGTCGTGAACGAGATGAGAAAGCCACAGCAGCACAAGAAGCCGAAGAGAGAAGAGAGGAGCAGCGGTGAAGAAGAGGAAAGCAGCTCAGGAAGCAGAAGTGGAGAGAAGGAGAAGAAGAAGAACCGAAGGAAGAAAAGAGACGAAGCTCCTGCCGCTCAGGTGAACTACGACGTGGACTCCTTCGACGAGGCAAAGAAAGAAGTGACAGAGAGAGCAGAGAAGTTAAAGAAAGTTGAGGAAAGCCTGGAGAAGGAAAAGGAGCAGTTCGAAAGCCAAAAGACAGAGTTTGAGGAGACAGTGAAAAGGTTTTTGAAGAAGCAGAAGGAGGTGAAGGAAAAGGAAGACAAAGTTACAGAAAGAGCAGAGAAGTTAGAGAAAGACCAAGAGACCCTCCAAGAGCAAGCCAAGGTCTTAAGCGAGAAGGAGACAGCCCTTGAAGAAGCTGAGGAGAACGTCAAAGCAAAGGAAGCAGAGGTTGAAAAGAAGAAGAAAGAGGCAGAGAAGAGAGAGAGAAAAGCCCAGGAAAGAACCGCCGGCTACGACCAGGAGAGAGAAGAGTACGCCAAGAAGTACGTTGACAACGCAAAGAAGGACTTGGAGAGAGAGCTTAAAGTGCTAAAGCAAGAAGAGAAAGTAAGGAACCAGAAGCTCGACGACCTCCAGTACGACTACAAGAGCCTCAAGGACGACTACCAGTACTTCAAAGGTTACTCACAAGAAGTGGACGCACTTCTACTTGCAGCTAAGGACAAGATCGTGAAGTACAAGAAGAAGGTCAAAAGCCTCAAGGAAACCATAGGTGCAGCCCTGTCTGGAAGCGAAGGTGAAGAAGAGACAGAAGAAGCGTACAAGAGCAAAGCAGAAGAAGAGAAAGAGAGGAAAGAAGCGCAGGCAAAAGAGGAAGAGAAGAAGAAAGGAAAAAGGCCAAAGCAGGTAGAGACAGAAGACCAAGAAGAGAAGCCGTCAAGCAACCAAGGAGACGAAGCTACCGTCGACCCGAACGACATAGCCGAGTTCACGCAGCTTGGCTACGTGTGGGAGTTCAACAAGAAGACGCAAGAGTACCGCGCGAAGTGCGAGGACAAGAAAGGAAGCACGAGAATCAAGAACGCTCCGGTGAAAGGCCGCCTCCTTTGGAACAAGGTGACGGAGTGCTACAGGAAACACAACATTTGGTTTACAGACGGAAAGGAATTGGATAAATTCCTCGAGACCAAGGAGAACGAGAAGATCGAGGAAGAGGTGCAGCGACGCATCGGCATGAAGGGCAAGAACGACAACACAGGAAGCAAGGGAAAAGGCCCTTCCTGGGACGACGGACAGAACGACGGTTGGTGGTACAACGACCAGTGGAACAACGAGAACTGGAACACCAACGACGACGGCAGCAACTGGTACGAGAACGCGAACCCGAACAACAAAGGCTACTGGCAATCGCCAGAAGAGTGGGCGCAGCAGAACCAGTGGGATTAGTGGACACCCAAAGGAAAGGGTAAAGGCAAGAAGTCCAAGAACTGGGTGCAGACCCAGTGAAAGAATCCCGAGAAGGGATGATCGAGCAGGTCAAGCAGTGAACGCTTGTACATATGTACATAGCTAAGCAACGTAAGACTTGATGTATACTAGCGCAAGAATTCATGTACAAAGTGTGAGCAATTGTATAGACGTAGCAAACTGGGGCAGTAAGCCTAGGTAAGCTACAACCTTCCAAAGTCTCACAAGAAGTTTCACAAAAGGCAGGCTAGGAAGGTACAAGGGCCAGAAGAGGCAAGAAGCCGGAGAAGCCAAGAACAAAGAAAAGAAGCCCGAAAGAAGAAAAGCCCGTAGGCTACGTAAGGGCAGAAGGAAACCGGGGTACGGGCCTCCCCGCAAAGAGTCCATAGGCTGGACCTAACTAGAACGTAGCTGTATATACAGAGTAGGTTTTTCAGGAAGGCCAATGTACAGACATAGAAGGCCTAAGTAGCAACAGGGCAGGAGTGCAGCTAGGTAAAAGACCAAGAACAACGGAGACGAAAGTCCCTAGCAAAAGCACTGTACAGAAAGCCCTAGCAGTTTCCAAGAACACCCTAGGAACCCGCAAGAACTTTCTGAGGCGGGGTGTTCGTTTGTAACCTAGTGCACGTAGTCCCAAGTAGAGTGTGTAGAGTAATCACAAGAACACATGAAACATGTGTGTGAACCGCGACACGAAGGCTTAAGTCAGTCAGCCCGCGAAGTGAGAAAAGTGTGTTTGCGAGTAGAGTGGGAAGGAAGGCTTGAGAAGCCTTTAGTTTCAACACATTGCGCCATTGGGGAAAATTTTTGTCCCGCCCACCCACTCCTGAATAGGGGGGCAATCGGGTGCTTAACACATAGCGGAATCTCTTTACCGCAAGCCGCGACAGTGGATGCTCAGCCATTCGTGTTGTGCACCGACACGTTTGGTGCACGAAACCTTTTTCGAACAGCCCCTTTCGAGTGCTGAGAACAAAAGAAGGCCACGTCTGCAGTTGCATGAATATATTCGGGAGCGATTTTTTAGTCGGCTCCAATACAAATTATATTCTCGGGCATTTTATATATGGAGCCCGGATACTGTTCTTTGGACTTTTTGTGCAATATACGGTTCTGGAGTTTTGTGGAAAGAGCTAGTCCCGAGCTTTGAGAAAACCATTGAAGTGTCCTACGAGGTAGCCTGCGTGCCTGGGGATAGCTTTAAGTTCCTCAAAAGGGAGCACATCATTCTTGATGATGGGATCTTGATAAAGCCTCTTGCGGACCACGCCGTGAATATGGCAAACCTTCTTGATGTGCCTCTGCATCGCAAGTTCCCGACGCCTTGCGCCAAGGAACTCCTCATGCCGGATCAGAGCAAGCTGCTGGATTTTGCTCGAGCAGCCAAGTACCGCAGCGCCGTTGGGATAGGCATGTACGTGTCTCAAGATCGCAGTGACATCGCCTTTACAGTGAGGGTTTTGGCTCAGAAGCTTAAAGCACCTACCGAACGAGGCTGGCAGTTTGCGCAACGCCTTGCGGGTTACCTCGTTGGAACAGCCGGCTACGCGAGTAAGATGCATGCCAAGGGCGATCGAGCAAGCATTTTGGAGCGTTTGATGCCGAGGAGCCTCTTGAGCGTGTGCTGCTTGAGGTATTCTGTGATGCCGACTGGAGCGGCAACATGCAGACTCGTCGCTCAATGAGCAGCTCATCCTTCTTCCTCAACGGTTGCTGCGTTTACACGTCTTGCAGATCGCAGCATTGTGTGAGTCTGAGCAGCACCGAGAGCAAGTTTTATGCACTTGTTTCCGCATCGTGTTACGGGATATTCTTGCAGCGCATCCTTCAATTTCTTCTTGAGACCAGCGTCGAGCTGTGCATGCGCACAGACAACCAGAGCTGCCGCTAAATTTGCATGAAACAGGGAGTATCGAAGGTCAGGCACTTGAGTGGACGCTTTCTCCGGATACAGGAGAAGACGGCTGATCGCACACGAAGTCGATGGGAGACGGAATCCGTCGGATCTGGGCACGAAAGTGCCGTGCTCTGGGTCTCGCCTCCGTGCTTTGCTGTGCATGCATGACTTTGTGTGCTGTGCCGGTGATTCCATTGAGCAGGTAGGCCGTGAAGAGCATGATGCATTGTTGGATCAGTTGCAACGTGAGCGTGAGACGCAGAAGGTGCGCAGGCTTGTGTGCAAGACGCTGAGGTCCAATGGCATAGCTTCAGCAGTGCAATGATGGTGATGATGCTGTCGCTTGTGCAGGGTGCAGTCGCTGGCCGTCTTGGTGATTTGCACATGTGCTATCCTTCTTGCCTTGAAATCTTTGAGCCTTGGGCGGCTATGGGACACAGAGGGCAAGGAAGATGACATCACCTTGAATGTGAGCAATCCCACCGCATCCACCGAAGGAGTGCATGAGCAGGAAGTTGATGGTTGGTGACAACTTTCAATCGTGATTGATTAGTCTTTATTCTTGCCCAAAAACCTTTTGAAAATTTTGGGGACGGAAATTTTCTGTCTGCATGTCAATCTTTGTGCATCACGCACTTTGCTCCCACGAAGCCTTTCTGGCTGAGGTGGGAGGTGGGAAACCTTAGCAACTTCCAAGGCCATATGGCTTGGTTTTTGTTTTGTGCGCCTCGCACGGGTGGCCGAAGCAGGGGGTGATGTGCCACCGTTCGAGGCTTTCAGCTCGGCGGTGTAGTGCGTGTGTGATGTGATGTCCCACACCTGTGGGCTCAGTGGGGCATTGCCGCATCTTGCGGCGTGCCAACTTAGTGAATTCGTCACCCCTTGACTTCGAGTATCGTCGTAAAAGATTGTCCGAGCGCGAGTGTTTGCACCATATTCATATGCAAAGATATTTGATTGACTTCCCGGCGATTCAATTTATAATTACACGATTTCACATATTGATGTGAATATCTCCACTGTGATTTGATTGACATGCGCGGTTTTTGGGAACAAGAATAAGGAATTGGATTCCATTGACTTTCACCTGCAGTCTTTCAGCATTATACCTGGCGATCATGATGTACCTGCGACGGCTGCGAGCCGCACTGCATGCTGCAGAGCAGGAGAATCAACGCTTGAGCAGAGTGATTGCTGAAATGGACTATGATCGCATCGCTTGGGGAGAGTACCACGCAGCCAAAGAGCAAGGAATTGCAAGAACGCTGGCGGAACCAAAGCGCCGCGCTATCTTGATCGATGGCGACGCCGCCGGAAGCTCCAGTGATGTGATCCAGCATGTGCCCGAGTTGCATGTTTACTGCACTCTGAGGCGAGGCAAGTCGTACCACAAAAGCCGAGATTGCACTTGTTTTAACAACGCCGACGAGATCGTGAAGCTAGGAGTTGCAACGGCCCGCGAGCGAGGCTATACTATAGGCCGTGCGGAAGCTGCTTTGGGGGCAGCAAGAAACAAAAGTGAGATCCTTGGATTGCGTGCCAAACACACTTGTGTCTTGAATGCTCTTGATGCTGATGCATTGGACATCTGTACATAGTCAGTGGCACACCCTTTTGGGCATGTGTCATTGACGACCAGCGACGGTTGTACATAGCTTCATGAAGCCACCTGCGAATCATTCTTGACCTTGACGGTGTGAAGCATCCTTGGAGTGTGCAAAGTTATGCACAATACACATCATTTGCATGTGTCAATCCCGTTATGTCCGAACAGCGAATGTGTTGACCGTGGAGCGGTCATGACTCCGAATGAAAGTTTCGTGATGAACTTTCAGCGGTAATTAGGCCGCTACAATACCGGGCATCGACGCCAACCGCGATGCATGATCCGCCATGAATTGTGCTTGTTCTTGACAGCAGCGCTCAAACTTGCGACGCCTACGCTTGGGTGAGTCAAGCTTTGCGTTTCGTCATCGGCTGCCCAAGCCTTTGATGGAATGCGCGTAGTGTAGTGCATAGTCGACTGTATGTCGTAGCTACGCTGATTCCCAAATCATGTACTGTAGTCAGAAGTGGTCGCTACTGTGATGTATCGTACGCTGTATGTTGATGCGAACATCTTGCAGTCTAAGTTACTGCGGATGTCCGGGCGGGGTGATCAACATTTTCCCCTATGCCCTGTACTCTTATTTTGCTAGAACGGTTTTGTAGCTTTTGACCACTCGTGTAGTTTTCTCGAAGAGCATGCGAAGCATGTATGATCGTCGTGACTTTCAGGCTCAGAGTACTTGCAAAAGTCCGAAGTTTGTTCAGTTTCGGGGCAAATGCCCTTTCCTGGGAGCGCCCCTTTTTGGGGCCGCTCTACTCTTGGTCATCGGCCACGAGAGGCCGCCGAGGAAGTCTGAGGTTGCCGGTGATGTTGAGATCCATTCTTTCCTGGATGGCGGAGCGCTTCCGGTCGGGAGAGCTTCAAGACTTCAAGCGCCTGTGCCGATTGCGGAGACGCCGGCGGAGCAGGGTTTGACTTTCTTTTGAGATGCGAAGGCGGAGGAGAACTGCTCCTGGATTGGCGGCTACCTCTGGGATGGCAGGGAGGTGCTGCAATGGTACGCCGTGGAGGTTCTTGAAAGCTGGGCGCCGTGGGCTTTCATCAAAAAGGACCTGAAGCGCACCATTGCGAGCCTTGAGTTGCTTGGCACACTGATCTGCGTTAAGCTCTGGGGAAAGCGGATGATGAAGAATGTAAGATCCACGGGACATATTACCGGAGGCACGGACAATCAGCGGAACAGTTACGCGGTTTCCAAGCTTATGTCCACGAAGTTCCCGCTTCCTCTGCTGCTCATGGAGCTTTCAGAAACATTGCGTGGTAACAGCCAGTCCCTGGACCTCAGCTGGGTTCCGAGGGAGAGGAATCACTGGGCTGACGATTTGACAAATCAGAACTTCGAGCGTTTCAATCTTGAAAAGAGGTTGATTGTGGCTGGAGCTCGGATCGATTGGATTGTGCTGAGTTCGCTGCTGGCTTCAGCCGCATCTTTTCATTCGGAGCTGGTCGAGGCAAAGAATGCATCGGCTAAGAGGGGAGGTGTCCAGACTGGGCCCAGAAAAGGGGCCAAGCGAGCTCGGACCAAGTGGTGATTATTCGGCTCCGGCTAGCGCATGGGTGATTTGCATGTGCTTGGATTGGGTACGACTGCTTTCGCCAAAGGCGCTGCAGAGCTTTGCACATGCACTTCGCCGAATGGGATTTCCGATCCAATCGACATGAAAACATCGTCGTGCGAGTGACTGCGGTATGTGAGTGATTGCATCTCTCTCTCAATTCATACGAATATATTTGAATGAGCTTTCGAGACATATGTCCATTTATGTCGGGTCCATTTGTGATCCCTTTTCTCTTTTCTTTATGTACCCCACCATTGTCTCCAAAGGCGGTGAAAAGGGGTGGTTGGTGGGATGAGTTTGACTTGCACGCACGCGTTCGCGACTTGTTACGTCAGTGTGTGTGCTCTTCAAACCCATGTGCTTGGTACACTGTGTGTACCTCTTCTTGCGGGAGGCAAAAGCTCTTTTGAGCTTCTAGTTTCCATTTGGAATTTTGAGTGTTCTTTTTCGGGCAAACTAGGACACTGGGCTTCGGAGAAGCTGAGCTTTGAGGCGTTCTTTTTCCGAGGAAATGGAACGCATGGAAACTTTGGGAAGTTTTACTTTACCACATTTGTTCCAGTCTTTGACGCTGCATGCCAACGATATTTACTGCATGGCAGCCACAGGGTCAAGTGGCGAGATTTGAAGCTCCCACCCTCCCAACCCTGGTGATTTGCATGTGCTTGGATTGGGTACGACTGCTTTCGCCAAAGGCGCTGCAGAGCTCTGCACATGCACTTCGCCGAATGGGATTTCCGATCCAATCGAAATGAAAACATCGTCGTGCGAGTGACTGCGGTATGTGAGTGATTGCATCTCTCTCCCAATTCATACGACCATACGAACATATTTGAATGAGCTTTCGAGACCTTTATGTACCCCACCATTGTCTCCAAAGGCGGTGAAAAGGGGTGGTTGGTGGGATGGGTTTGACTTGCACGCACTCACAGAATGCCTACGCTGCTGTTTCACGCCTTGGAGCCGCCTCGGCCTCCGCCTTGCAAGCTCGCCGTCTCGGACTTGGAAACTGCCCCTGCCCTTTACACGATAGCGTTCAGCGACCTGAACCTGCCTTCGCCATCCACTGCAGTGCAGTACGGTTTCACGCACTCAGAAGCTGCCTCAGCCATAGCCGTTAATTAGAGACGAATGCATGCCTTTCACCCGTCTTCTCACAAAGCCTAGCCTGGGGTTTTTTTTGGACCGAGTCTGCCCTGCAGCCTTATAGTCCCTCTCAGGCTAGCCGCACAGCCTACAGATCCAATACGGTAAAAAAGAGAGCGTGATGTGCTAGAGCAGTGCAAGCCCACCTAAAACGGTTTGAATGTCAACTGATAGAAAAGGGATGGTCGGAGTGCGTACAGTTAACCGCGTAATTGGTACCGGAAGCCCGGCAAGACGACAAGAAATCTTTTGAGAAAGAATTTCATATGTTTGTGTTATGGGACAGATTTGTTCTCCATTGACTTTGCAGGCTTGCAGAGCATATTGAATCCAAAACAACACGTGGAAACAAGCTACACATTGGCCTTAGGCAGCGTTGACACTGCACGATTAGACAGGTACATGGGCAAGTTGGGTTGATTCGGCATTCAGTTGAGTAAGTACTCTGGTCCAATTTCGTGTTACCGTTTTCCACAAATGCCATGTCAGGCACATCCTGCATGCAAGATCATTGATGCACGGATGTGGCTCAAAAGCATTTGCTGAAGCTTGACGAGCTGTGCTCATGCAGCTGCTTATTGTGAACCACACAAATCGTGAGTCCAATCGATGCATTTGCACGCATTGCAGCGTCAAGCTTGTAGAACCCTTGCTGCCGTGTATAGTATGAAACTCATGCCGCTGATGTGATGCCGTGACCTGACCATGTATCCAAGCCAAGGCCACGGAAGGCCTGGCGCATACCCACCGCAGCATCCCCCAAGTTGGGGGCCAGGACAAGCATGGCCGCAGCAAATGATGCCGCACCAACCTGGTCAACAGATGGGACCACACATGCAATCTCACATGCTTCCGATGCAGTATCCTGCGCAGTATCCTGCGCCGTATCCTGCGCAGCCACCGATGCAGCCACCCATGCAGGCACCGATGCAGCCACCGATGCAGCCACCAATGCAGCCCCCAATGCAGCCCATGCCAGCGATGGGGAGTTCTTGGCCGCTTTCGCGACCGAAAGCGCCCACGACCATCCCCCCGCACTGGACTGCACAGACTGCAGGCTACAACCCCGCAGGGGACCCGTTGCTAGGCCAATCCTTCGGCCAGTCTTTTGGCGGCTCTTTCGGCCATGGCGGGACACCGTCGGTGACAACGACTGCGCAACCCGACAGCTTTGGAGGAGCTGTAGCTTCGAACCATGTTCCTCATACAGATCTGAGCGGCACGCTCGCCGGCAATGGGGAGCATGTTGTCGAAGGCCTGGTGACTTTGCCTGTCGATGAACTGTTTGCGACTTCGTGCTGGATCTGAAACGTCGGTTAACTCAATGAACAGCGAGCGTTGCGAGGTCATAAGCAGCATGGCAAGGTTGTGTCGGATAAGCTCAGGCGGAGGAGGCCATGACGAGCATCATCACGAGATGTGGCTAGTGCAGAGCATCCAGGCAAGCCCATGGAGTCGCTTGGAAAGTTATTTTTCCTGCATTGGACGGCATGCTTAAACCTCTTGCGCACGTGAGCCCTGGATGTTTGTGCTCGAGGATTCTATTTCGGCGGGTTTTTCTGCCTTCTGTCATGCTTCCTGCTCATCGGTTTTCTGCTGCTACTGGGTGTTCCGATACTGGACCCCCGCCCAAATGATATCGTGCCTGTCATTCTTCGAGATACTTGGCTCGCACCTGTTGGTCACAGCTATGTCAATGTCCGTCAGCAGAAGTTTCAGCTGCTCTGGTGTGAAAATCGTGTCAGGAACACATTGCCAAAAAGAGGCGTGTCGTGAACTCCGAGTGAATGCACCTTTGCGATCTTTGGCGATTTGCGAGCTTGGGAGAGCTGTGCAGGCAGGATGCAGGCCGAAGTCTCAAGGAGGCCGAAGCCTGCCTGGCGGCCTGTCGTGTGTTGAAGGAGTCCTGTTCCATCCGTGCTCGGGCTTTGTCAGGTTGCCTTGGCTTGTCCTGGCTGTGAAGATTTGATGGAGCGAGCTTTGCAGAATTAGTTTGGAGATTTGATGTCCCGGCTTCTGGCCACTGCGCTAAAGCACGATATGCGACACTCTTCAGTTCTTGAGTTTGGCATTGACGCTTGTAGTCGTGAGATGATACTTGTCCGAGGATCTGAGCGAATGTTCTATCTGCACATCATATACGAGCCTCGACTGCACTCAATCCTTAGCCGCCCTGAGGATGTCAGCTTTGCCTTCGCACCTTTGTGCAGAGGAAGTGGAACACGAGTCTGGCACTCTCTGGGAAGCTGACATTCTCCAAAGCATCCCGACACGGAGCTCGTTTGTCACGCCCCGATTCCCGAAGGTTTCAGCCCAGAACCCTAGATCCTTATGAAGCTTGGTCATTGTGTGTCAAACAGGTATCCATGAAGTGGAGCAGAAAGTCTTCGAGGCAAAGGGCCTCGGACCCGATGGCAAGGACTGGCTTGTGCCTTGCTGTGATCATCCCCTCAGGCCCTCAGGACCACGTTCTTTCGTTGCATCGCCGTTCAGAGTGCTGCAGGAGTGGGCTTTTACGGTTCCGAATCTGCAAGTCAGCAGAGCCTGAAGAGTTCTGTGCAAGATGTGCCCATCAAGGATATGTGCTTGCTGGCGAAACCTGACGAAGAGCTCAAGGGACTGGGTCGGGTCTCTCGGCGGATGAATACAACCGGACACAAGCATGTTTGAAGTACCCGCTATATAGGCGTGCATCTTTGGGGAACTTTCGTTGCTCATTCATCTGTGGGGCTTGCATACCGTTTGCCAGGAGTTGCCGAAGACACCGAAGTGCGCCTTTGCACTTTCTCCCCTTCTTTTCCTGGCGGACAAAGTGTTGCTTGGCAGCACATCTATGCACAGCACCATGCAAAGCGAAAGCCCTGGGCCTTCTTCCATTCATTGGAAGCTGGTCACGCTGACGGCTGCAGCTGCAGGGGGGGAGGGAAACCAAAGCTGCGTATACACCCCCCTACCCCCAGCAGCTTGACTTTATCCACCAAAATCGTACCCGCAAGCGGAACGGGGGGGCCGGCGGCGGAGCAACTGAGAAACAACAGCAACCCAACCACGGAGGAAAGCGGGCCGGGGAAATGTTGTCGTGCCTCAGGCTGCCTTTAGCGGACCCTCCACCTTTTCAGCTGAAGAGTGGCTGAGCTGCACTTCACATGAACTGATTCTCGCTTGGCTGCTGGACCCGCGTTGGGCAACGATCTGTACTGCCGAGACCTACGCCGAACGGGCTATCTGTGGATCAACGAGTCGCACCATCAGTGGTCAGGTCCTCATTGGCTGCTGAAGTCAAAGGGCCCGGCTTGTCTGCCGTGTAGATTTCGGAGCCCGAGAGCCGGACGAGTCGCGAGGACAGATCACTTGACACGCTGCATCGTACCTCCCAAGGAGGCACAGAAGGCGCAACAGCCCGAAAGGTATCAGTGTGAGACATTCGAAGTGCATCTTGCTATGAATACGAGTGTGTCTGTCACAACTTTTGCATTAGATTTTGTTTATCTCATGCAGGAAGAGATGGGGAAGGTCACTGGCAGTTGGTTCATGAGGAAGGTGGGCTCAGCAGTTCGTGACTGAAAACTTCTCATGCCGTCCTTCTGATCTGCCAAAGGCCACAGAGTATTACGACAAAAGGTTGGGCCAGGACCCCGGCGAGGACCGTGGCTAGGCAAATTTATGGAGTCTGGGAGTGTTGGTTCCTGGCATCCAAGCGAACACAGCATCCTACACCAAGTCATCCGTGTGGGCGCGTATCTTCATGTTCTGTGATATAAACTGCTCAGTTCAAGCGCGAACGAAGTGTTGTAGGACATTGTGGATTCTTGGTGCAGCGCTGCATCCAGCCACCTGCCCTCGGACGGGGTTGAGCAGCATGTCGAGCATCTGCCCGACAAGACATTGGATGTCTCACCTCAGCTCATGTGAAAGAGGAGATGAGAAATTGTGGCTGCCTTGCCCTTATCTACAACGACGTACCCTATCGGCAACCTAAGAATTAGATACACTGCCTTGCCAAATTCATTTGCCAAAGCCGAAGGCTTCTTTCTGTAAGGTCCAAATGGCACAGAACTGGGACATCGGCCTGCAGCAGATGTGGGATTTCGAGAAGGGCTTCCAGAAGCTCAAGAACCCCGAGGCCTAGTGCGCCGATCTGATTCACTCGTTCCAAAGGGTTGCTAATCCTTTGTCGAAACTTTCTTTTCAACGTGAAAGCAATCACAGAGAATCGAACAATGTGACGTTTGTCATTTGTTCCAATGATTTGGGGGAACGTTCTTGGGCATTTTCTATTTCAGGGATTAGAGTTTCTTACCCTCCGCTGCTGTCCGCCATCTGCTTTTCTGACTTGTATGCTTTCTGCTTGTTGCTTCTCGCCGTCTGCCTGCCGCCTGCCGCCTGCCGCTCTCTGCTGCTTATCTCCTACTCCTACTTGTTTCTGCTTTCATGGTCGTGCTTTTTTTGGTCGTCTGATTCTTGTTGCTCTCAGGCATTCAGGAACTGGCAGGGTCATCCTCGGGCCTCGCCCTCCCATTGTCACGCCGGTTCAGGGTTATCTTGAGGGTGATGTGCTGGAACTTGCAACGTGTAACGAACGTTTCCGACACACTGCTCCCCAGCAGAAGACGTCTAGCAGTGCAGCACAGATCCACGGAGACCTTGAAAGTCAAAAACAAACAAGACGATGTCTAAAGGGAAAAGCATTCTTAACCCATCACAGTGATCGTTTCTGAAGGACCCGTACAGCCCCGCAGAAACGTCTCTTTTCTTTCCTTTCCCGTTGTCTTTTTCCCTTCCTTCATAATCTTTGCCTCTCTTTGCCCCTTTCCCTCGTGCCCGTCCTGTCCTCCCCTCCCTCCCCTCCCTCCCCTCCCTCCCCTCCCTCCCCTCCCTCCCCTCCCTCCCCTCCCTCCCTCCCCTCCCTCCCTCCCCCCCTCCCCCTCCCCTCCCTCCCCTCCCTCCCCTCCCTCCCTCCCCCCTCCCTCTCCCTCTCCCTCTCCTCTCCCTCTCCCCTCCCTCTCCCTCTCCCTCTCCCTCTCCCTCCCCCTCTCCCTCTCCTCTCCCTCTCCCCCTCTCCCTCTCCCTCTCCCTCTCCCTCTCCCTCTTCCCTCTCCCTCTCCCTCTCCCCTCTCCCCTCTCCCTCTCCCCTCTCCCTCTCCCTCTCCTCTCTCCCTCTCCCTCCCCTCTCCCTCTCCCTCTCCCTCTCCCTCTCCCTCTCTCCCCTCTCTCCATTCTCCATTCTCCATTCTCCCTCTCCCTCTCCCTCTCCCTCTCGCTCTCCCTCTCCTCTCTGTGTTAAATGACACGACCCCAGTGATGCACATTTTTTGGTCATGATGCATTGACGAATGCTACAATGCCGAATGGCATTGGCTCAAGACTGGACTGAGGCTGGACGTCACAAAGGAATGTCTGCTTGAGTGTGACAGGGGGAAAGTGATTGATCTTGGTTTCTCTCAAAGATTGTATTGCACTGTTGAATTTATCATGGTAGCGGAGCTTCGGCTCTGGAGCCAGGGATTGAGACAGAATGGAGTTTGGCACTAGAGGGATTGGCGGAGAGATCAAACTGTTTCCGCCACCAATGTACCACGGAGAGCTTGAGAAATGGGAAGATTGGTCGTGGCAGCTGACGGTTTGTAGGACTGTACAAACCGTTGGCTAAACTGCCAATGGACGACGTGGAAGGTTCGAATGTGGCCATCACTGACGATCTGTGTGAGGCGTTTAATGTGCAGCAGAATCGTACACACACAGAATGTTTTTTCGCAGTGCCGCGCAGCCCACCATGATGTGTGACGCGGGACGCGCCTTCAGCGCCGGCCTAAACCGAGCAGCTGCGGAACGGATGGCTCTGAGCTGTGCGGCCTTTAAAGCAGACCCGACTAAAGCATCACAAAAGGAGAAGATTACTATAGAACCCTAATCTTAAAGTTGGCTCCGAGAGCCGTTAGGCCGCCAAAACGCCCTGCCATATCAGCAATCTGCAGCATTCAGGGAGGGATGGGGATTAGGGCAAACAATCTCGGGTATACAGACTACCAAGATGAGTATCCTAAAACGAAGGTTGAGAAACTGAAGCCCTCCTCTGCTGCAGCTGTGCTCGCATCTTCGCGTTCCCTGCTCAAGTTCTGGTATGCGGAGCAAGCACCCTAGCACACAACACCAAAGCTTCAACAGAATGGCCGCAGGGCAGCCTTGAGTCAGGGATATCTGGATGACAGAGTGTGAGCGAGAACCACTACACTGTTCCCTGACAGGACTCAACCTTGGGGCGGGCACCACAAGAAACCTCAGCCAGACGTGCGAGCACAGCTAAACGAAAAGCATAAGCAACAGTATGGCCATCCTAAGGCTTAAAATTAAAACTTTAGGCAGAAGTATGGCCCCCCTCAAAGTTTCACAGACTGTCAGGAGCTCTCGCCTCCCTCGCTCGCACTGGAATCCTAAGGCCGGGTACCTGTTCCAAAATGCTCCAACAAGAGAAGCAAAAGCTACGGCAGACCCTGGTGCAAGCATCGGAACTCCACTGACTGTCTCCCAGTACGTAGCAAGGTCGCTGTGGGATATATGCAGGGTATACCAAGCCTGAAACACTTCGTATGAACGCAAAAAACCAGCAAGCAGGTAGGGGCAGAGGCTTCGAGGACCTACACCAACAACACAGATACCCTGCAAGGAAACCCACAGCGAACGCTACGACGATCTGCGAATATCTTCAGTATCGCAAGTTCTGAGCGATGGAAACTAGCATCTTTACTTTAGCAGCAATCCGGGTGGGAGGCGCATGACTGCCAGAGCCATGACGTGTGATGAACTGATCTAGAAGCTTGCCTTTCCCTTTAGACTGCTGCAGTGCGGACTCCGACTCTTCGCTTGACGTGGGCTTATTGCCTAGACTAAGGCTGTGGGCAAGCTCCGCCTCGACAAGCTTCAGGATATGGACTGGGATTTGCGATTCTTGGTTAGCCGGAGGGGTGCCTTGCGGGGTTGATTAACAGCAGGAGTGCCTTGGGGGTGAGCTTGCCCGAGCTGCTCACCTTTTTGCCAGAACAGTTGGCCTTGAAAGCCTGGGAGCGGAGGGATGCCTGCTGGAGCAGCCACGTGAGCATTCATCTGCATCGCAGCTGCTTGCGCTGCCGCTTGTCTCTCCTCCAAGCAAGCGGCCAAGGCCTGGGCTTGTAAGCGTCTTTCCTGCTGCGCTGCTGCCTCTTGTTTCTGCTTCCGATACTCCAGGTATCCGGGACTTTCAGTAGCAGGGGGGTGCGAGGAGCGACGCTTTTCGAGTGTTCTGGATTCTGAGCGTCTGCGACGACTGGAGCGAGCACGCCCATCTCTTGTCATGGCATACTGGAGGCCATAGCTGCGATGATCATCTCTGCCAGAGCCTTTCCCATGGTAAGACCCTCTGCGATTCTGATGACCTCCAGCATCCTGGCCACGACGGCCTGCGATGAGAAGCTGGCACTGAACAACCAGCATTAGCATGACCACAAGGCAAAGGCCGAGGCTTCCCATGACTCACAGCAGCAAGCGCTACAACACTCGGTCTGCCCTGAAGCTACGTCAAGCTTGAACACAAAACTCTACGATCAGGGAGCGAAAATTTCACTTGCTGCTGCGATCAAGCGCTCTTGTGGCTTCTCTGAGCTTCTCTGACCTTTATGAACGCTGGGTTATTCAGGGGCAGGGAATGAACCAGAGCTCCTCTTAAAAGCAAGGGCGGGTATCCCTCAAGGACCCGTTCCTGGAGTTCTTCTACCAGGGCTCTTTCCTGGCAAGCTGCCGAAAGCTGCAACTCTTGCAGTCTAGCGGCACGCCCTAGCAACATTCCGCGCAATAGCCCGAATCTGAGTTGCAGACGGGCCAGGTATGGCGGGTATTTCTCTTTCTGCTTGGCAGCGAGGCCTTGTACCCACTCTCTGTTCGGATTTTTTGCTGACCAGCTTAGGTGGCCTGAGACAGCATCGACCTTGACGATTATGTCTGTCCAGACTTGTTCGTCAGAAGGGTCGTTGAAAGCAAAAGACACAGAGTACATAGTATTGACTAAATGCCTCATGCAGCCGAAACATAATGCTCGGGAGATCATCAGAAGGTCATCCACATATCACATGCTCAGCAGGGCCTCTGGCGGGTCCCATCCGCCTGGCAGAAGCGTGCTTCCGGGACTTTCCTTGCGCAGGAACTTGTCTTCTTCATGACTGAGCAGGCAGCATGCCGCAATCATTGAAAGAAGTCCGCCTATAAGCAAGCCTTTGGCTCTCACGACTATGTCTCCCAAGCAAGTGAAGCCTAGGGCACAGCTTGCCCATAAGATCCGACGCAGCCTTGAAAGGGAGAAGACTGCAAACTTGCCGGAACGAGTCAAAGGATTCTCGCCGGGCCAGCCTGCAACCGGCCTTGCTTTGCGAACCGTGAGGCTGCCCTCGCCATACAGATCTCTCAGCCGCTGTGCTTTGGCATCAAACGCAGCCATAACCAGATCCGTGTTAATCTGCTCGTACATTTGGGCGGCGTAGCAAGGATGTGGGAGGCATAGGGCCTTTGCAGCACCCACACACCCCGGGCACGGAGGCGGGGCGAAGCTTCCGGAAATCAGCGCGGAGCTTGGGAATGATGTCTTTGAGGCGCCACACTGCGAATCCTTGGCCAGGACACGTTCTCATCACTTGTATTGCCCGGCCGGCCAGTCGCCATGCTCGGCGCCAAGGGGCATGGATGAAGGAGATCACCTTTCGAAGGCAGGAATGCGCCTTCTTTTTGCGTGTCCGCCCTAGAGAAACATTTCTTCTTGACAAATGGGTAGCAATATGGAGCGTAGCAATGAAACCTTGGCGGGCCTCTGCGCAAGAAAGCTGGCAGAGCGAACAATGAAACACCATAGACCATCGTACTCAGTTGCTCTCTTGTCAGTGATGTGACCTCCCACCGACTACTGTCAAGCAGCACCAGCGACAGCAGGATGGCGGATAAGCATGCTGCAGGCATGGTCCAGGAGCGCCTTCTGTCTTTGTCATCTTGCAAAATCACTTCATCAGCGCTGCCCAACATGTCCTCGATGTAAGCTCGTTCCTCTGCTGGGCATGGTGGCGGCCCATGCCTGCAAGTGCTGTGCTCGAAGCAACGCTTGCAAGC